TCTGCTTTTTAGACCAAAAATCCTCTCCCTGCGGCTCCCGGGGCTCCCACCCGGCTGGCGTGGCCCCTCGCCACCTGCGTTGTGTTTTCTCTCCCTCTGTTGTTCGCATCCGACTCGTTCCGTTGCCTCCCTGGTGTTTAGAGCACGTAAACTGTGTCGGGGTTTTTGCTGGTTACGATGACAGTAAATGCTGAATTTAGAGGCACCCTTCTCTCCTTGTTGCAGTGTATCCATGGGAATGGGCTCGTGTTCAGGCGCGGCAGCGTGCCATGGCTTTAAGCGGCCGACCGCAGGCGAGGGGGTTTTGCCGCGGTGCAGGGCCCCGGGTCTGCGGCGTGTCGCGGTGGCAGCACAGCGTGTGCTGGCCGGCGTGCGTTCGGAACCGCAGCGCCGGAGCAGCTCCGCGCAGGTCAGAGGGCGAGATGCGAGTGCAGCCCATCGCTCCCGCGGCCGGAGTCAGCCGAGCAGCATCTCCAGCTGCTGGGCGAGGAGAGCCAGGGCATGGGGCGCTTGCAGCACTGCGGTACCTACAGACGGGCCACGGAAGCTGTTGCAGGGCTCTCTGCTTTGCTGTGGTTTTGCTCCTGGGTGGGCTCCGGGGGCTCGCCAGGGCCATGCATGGCTCTCCCAGGGGGCTGCCTGCCCGCGGGGAGCCGGGAGGAGGGGGTGGTGCCAACACAGAGGGTTAGAAAGATAGTCAAGAAAGACAAAATCTGCCTTTTTAAATGAACTGCAAGATTTATTACAGTGGTTTGCTCCTGACAAGGAAGTTGGTAACCTCCTGCCTGGGAAGGAAGGGTGGGGAGTGGGGAAGGGCAGGGATGGGAGAGAGAAAAGGATGTGAGAGACAGAGAGAGAGAGAGAGACACTTAAGGACACTTTTCATTTTCTGAAAATAAAACATCTTTTACCTCCCAAACCATTTTCTCCAGTTCTTTAAGTTCACAAAAGAAAGAAGAAGGTGAAACCGAACCACAGACTTCAGGAGGAAAATGCACAAACATGTTGAAAAGCAGAGACAAACATGCTCTTCTGCATCTAACAAGCTTCCGTAACCCACGCGGCTCCGGGCGCAGCGTCTGCGGCTCCTCAAGGCACCGGCTCTGCACAGCGCCGCAGCAGACGACCGCCCCCCCGGCACGAGGAGCCAAACGGTGGGAACAAACCGGACCCACCCCCGGTCGCACTGGAGGAGCCCCATGGGGCTGGGGGGGCCCAGCCATGGTGGGGGTCTGTGCTGGGCTGCTGGTGGCGGTGGCAGGGCGGGAGGCGAGAACAGCATGGCCGAGATGGAGAGAAAGCAGCAGCGAGAGCCTGGCATGTCCCAGCTCGGGGGGCTGCAGCCCCCTGCCCCCCCCAGAGCCATGAGCCCCTGTCCTGTAGTGGGTGGAGGAGCCCCATGGGGCTGGGGGGGCCCAGCCATGGTGGGGGTCTGTGCTGGGCTGCTGGTGGCGGTGGCAGGGCGGGAGGCGAGAACAGCATGGCCGAGATGGAGAGAAAGCAGCAGCGAGAGCCTGGCATGTCCCAGCTCGGGGGGCTGCAGCCCCCTGCCCCCCCCAGAGCCATGAGCCCCTGTCCTGTAGTGGGAGAGGAGCCGATGGCTCTGTGCTCATGGCTTTGGCACAGTATTTGCTGTCACCTGGGGACGTGGCAGAGCGTGGCGGGGGTCCAAGGGCTCAGCCCAGCCTGGCATGAAGCGCAGCACAATTCTTATTACCCACTCACTTGGGCAGGTAAATGCAGGAGGGGGCTGCACAGCCCCCCAGCTCCCCCAAGCCCCTCAGCACGTGCTGGCACGGGAGCAGCTCTGGGCTATTTGGAGCCCGGACCCACTGCTGCCCCAGCATCTCCCCCTGCCCGGCTGCTGTGCCAGCATCACCTGCAGACAGGAGGGGGACAGGGGCCAACCTGGCCCCATCCTGCCCCTTGGCTGCTCCCCAGACACGACCACGACATGGCTGATGGCTGGAGCAAGGCACTGGGGACACTGCCCCAAGGGCCACCCTGTCCTCACGCTTTGGGAACCAGCTCGGTTCATGGCGCCGATGCCTGCGATACTTTCCAGCCACGGCGATGCTGTGCTGGCACCAAGGGCACAGCAGCAGGGCCATGGGCCCGAAGTGTCCTGAGGACGATCACCTGCTCCCAGTACTGAACCCCTTACAGCCTCTGCAGCAAAGCTTTGACATCGCAGAGATGTGCTGACATGGGCACCCGTGGGCTCCGGGCACTGCGGCTGAGGCCACAGCTGCTGCCTCCGGCACCACGAGCACTGAGAAAATGAATCTCAGCAGAAGGCTCAGCGCTGCCCGTCCCTGCCTCCCGCGCTTGGCCAGGGCAGCGGTCGGACGCAGAGCAGGAGCAATGCTGCGGAGAGCCAGGAGCAGGGACCCTGGCACGTGCACCCTGGGGTCCCAGCATGGGGCCAACATCTCCAGCCCCAGCGCTCTGCTCGGCTCCTGCAGAAACCCTCTGCCTCGGTGCTGCTGCCTGGGGACACCCCAACCACGGCGAAACCGCAGCCTTGGGGGGTTCACCTCGCCTCTCCCCTGCTCTGTGCACGAGGGGCCCTGAGACACGGGGCAGGGTTGGGGAAGGGATGGCAGCGGTGGAGAAACAGCCGGTAGGACAGCAGGAGAGGAGCATAAATAGGAGAAAAGCCGGGACAGGCTTTACCCTTCCTTCGTGCCACAGAGCTCGGTCAGGCAGGCGACAGGTCGAGCACTGGCCATGCAGAGGAGCTGGAGCAGTGCTGGCGATGGGACAGTCTGGCAGCCAAGCCCACAGCCCCGCAGCCATCAACCATCCTCACTGTGTATTAAAATAAACCATCTGGGACTTTTCCAATAGTACAGGTTAAACAGCATCACTGAGAAAGGCGGGTGGAGAAGC